GGCTTGATAATGATAGACGCCACATTATTGTCACTCTGTGATAGTTTGGTAGATTCTCTCTTCTCAGTCTGACACACCCAACATTAAATAACCACTTGAAGTAATATAGAAGATTAACCTCAATTCAGTGTCATCTTGACAATTGTTTTCTTCTTGATTTTATTCCTATTATTGCGATAGTTGTCGCCATAAAATTAACGTGGACGATCCCATTTTATATTTATGTATATATCACAGATATTTGATTATATCTACATGTAGAACAGTATCTCATTGTAGTTTGGAGATTCCGTTCAACTTTTATTCAGAAGTAGAATGTAGTTCATGAAAGCGATTGACATTTGAATATAATTTTTACGACGAGGTTATTGTTAATTTTAAATAGAATCCTATTTTAGAATAGTCTTAGTTTTTGTCATTAGGAGCAGTAATGTTAAGTGGATTAATAGGTAGATTCTTTTCTGACATTTCAAAAAGAACAACTTGCATAAAATTCACGTTATTTCTTACTATTTATCTGTTTATTATTTTCGGATGTTCGAGACATTATAACTTTCGTTTTCCATTTAAGCATTCTATACAATAGGCATGGCTAATTTTAATAAATGAGTAACGTGCTTATAAAATATGTTGAAGTATTACTTTGCCTAAATTGTTATATGGCGAGTTTAATCTATTAAAGTGAATCACCAGAGGACGCTTGCTTTCTCTCGTGGTTCCCATAGCAACTGCCGATCTCCTTGTAAACATACCAGACGGCAGGTGAATAAAGAATTTTTACTGCACGTGCCGTGCGAAATTTACATGAATGTGTCATGGTCACTGTAATAATCGACTATGGTCATGAATTCAACAATATTATACTTTTATGTTATTTCTTGAAATGATCTCTAGTTCCAGAAATAATTTTAGCTTTGCGCATTCGATATTCCTCTTATGTCTTTTTGGTAGTAGTCTATTCTGATAATTTAAAAAAAGAAGTTCAGTGTAATCCATAATGCGTCAGCTGAAAAAGTATGAAATACTTTATCAATGACGCCATTCTTTCCAATGTTTTCGTCATCCGATTGTTCTCTAGTTAAGTTAAAACTGCTAAAAACCTTATTCTAGAAAACAGTATCAAATAAAATCAGTTAGAGGCTGTCAAGCTTTTCCTCGTGTTTTAAATAATGTTCCTGAGACCTTATTCACTTTTTTAATAAGACTGATTATGAGCATTGATAACACACTTTAAAAACATAAAACTCTAGTTCCCCCAAAAGTCAGCCTCTAGCCCAAAATTTCCCACGTTGATCCATTCCTTTCTGCATAGGTTGATAAAAAAAAAACTGATCTCGTTTCTATGTGTAAAATGCCAAATTAGTAAAAATGTGTATATCATCGAAAGTTGGAAACACTTTAGATTGTTATGTGATTTCAGAATGAACTGTTTTGTGCAATCCTATAAAAAATGTAGGTTAACTGTATACCAACATATTTCAATTTATTCGATAACTTTGAGGAACGAGTAGTTCTGTTCTGTAGAGATAGAACTGGGACAATTTTGACATCTGTACAAACTAAGGAGATAAGTCATCAGGAAAAAAGCACTATTGTTGTTTCTTTCGATACATGGTTCCGTGTCGTTGAAGGTCAATCACGTGAGTGCAACTAGGGCCTGTATACGTGACCACGAAATGAAATTTTACTCTACCCCTCAGGCCAGGCGTTGCCTAATGATTAACGTGCTAGGTTTACGGCCCGCTGCCATAAAAACGAGCTCCGTACGTGGGAGACGTGGGCGTGTTTTAAGAGTGAAAGGTCAAATCCCATTATTGGATCAGACAAGAGTTGGTGGTGATTATAGTTGACTAGTTGTCTGTCCTCTAGTTCATGCGTAGGTAGCCCTTTGTGTAGCTATGCGCGAAAATTCTGAAACAAGCATATTTCAATACCTCTCTTTGTGGTTAGGGCACTCGACTCGCAATTCCCGTCGCCGAACATGCTCGCCCTATCAGCCTGGGGGCGTTAAAAAGTGACGGTCAATCCCACTATTCGTTGGTAAAAAGAGTAATCCAAGAATTAGTGGATGGTGTTGACTAGTTGCCTTTCTTCCAGTTTATCACTTCTCAATTAGGGACGGCTTGCACAGATAGCTTTGGTATAGTTTGTGCGACCTTGGAAAACAAATCAAACTTTTTTTTTCACGAAAGCATTTTTTTTTCTTTATATTTTTAGGTGTAATGGCAGAACAGTGTGTTCACAAAAATGCGCTAAATAACACTGGTTTCCCATTTTTCCTTTTCAAATAAACCTCGACAGTTTTGCCTATCGTGTGATAAAACCTATGTTATGTTTGTGTTTGAAAGTATTTTTGTGACGGCAGCTGTTGTAAGGCAGGTTATGTTGGATTTAAAAAATAAAAGTCCAGTCCACTTGACGATAATAAGAACGTTTTAGTTCTTGAAAGTCCATAATTACGGTAACCAACGTTCACTGATAGGTCCAACCTCACACATAAGTTACGTTTAACAGAAATTACACTTATTTAGTATTTATTTCTTCGTCGAAACATAAACTCAATATTCATTGCACTGAATTAACTAGCTAGCTGACAGTAATAGATAAAGTGACTCAACGAACTCAATGACTCATTGCTTTGTTGACTGTATTACTAACGCTAGTCTAACTCGTTTTTTTTACATATGCATTGCTCTAATTGTTTCGTAAACTTTAGACATTAATGCCACGCTACGTTAAACGCTCTTCTCTCTATAAAAATTACACAACAATAAAGAGTTTTTGAAAACGTCTAGATTTAAAAAAAAGATAAGCTACAAGAGCATCAATGAATTCAAATTCGGTGACGAGGAACCCATTTTGAAACTAATAATGGCTGGAGACGGTTTGAATGGGTAATGAAGAAAACTTTAATATAAGTTTAACGTAACAGCAAATGTACAACGGTACGACAAGGATTTATCATCAACACCTTATCGAAATGTTGTATGTTTGCTGATACGTTAAACATATAAT